ATAACTGTCACAACAATTATCATTTGGGTTGTTTGGACCCACCCATGAAAAAGACACCCAAGCAAAGGGGGTACACCTGGTATTGCCATCACTGCGACCAAACGGTACTCATTACCGATAATCCATTGAAATGAATGACAATTAATTTGAATCGATTTACAGGACGAAGAAGACGATGGTGAAGACGAAGAGGAGGACAATGGAGAAGATGACGATCAAGAAGACGAAGAGGAGGACGAAGAAGAAGATAATGATATCAATGGTGACAATGACTCCAATTAAATAATTATCCCATTCTTATGAATATAAATATGATTGTATTAAATATTACAAGATTTATAAAAATTACTATAATATCTGTCAATACTTTTGTATACGTTTTCTAACATTTAAGTGTGAATTTGTGACTAAAATATAGTTTTAATTATTTGTATCTGTATTTACAAAACCTGTCAAATAATATTTCAATTATCCTTTGAATGCAATTTGTCTTTTCAATGATTTCTAATACTTTCCACCCGTTTATCGCATATAATAATAAGTTAATGAAAAAACATCTCAAATACTGTATTTAAATTGCTTTCGTAACTAATGGAGTAAACAATTAAATAGTTTTATGAAGTTTTTATGAATTGCATGTCTGTCCGACAATTACAATGAAATTTGAATGCATTCACTATAATGTGGTCAATGAGTGGCTGTATGTGTTTCAGTGGGCGTTTCAGTGGGCGTTTCAATGCCATTAGACTCACTCGCAGTCATAGCACTGACAGTATGTCTGACTGTGTTTTCATTGCAAACCAATGACTGTATTGTAAGCATTGGTTTACAATTAGTTCATTTCAAGTGCATTGCAATCAAAGACTTATTGGATTCCAGTCGATATGACCACCAATTGAAGGCATTTGCATAGAAGTCATGAAGTGATGAGTTATTTGAAGTCATCGATGGCGAGAAACGCGTCCATCAACTCAATGATCACTAACACCAATAAGAAGACATTCAAGTCTTACATCGACTTAGAGGTGAATCCGGACGCGAATAATGCGGACAAAGAGAGTCCGACGCCTCCGATGACTATCACGACAAACACGGATGAAGTAAGTGCTGAACCGATGGTGTATTTGATTGATACGAATGTATGTTATATTGGATCAGATGTGGACCACTTTGGATGAGAACGGAGTGACCACTGATTTGGGCAAAACTCGGCGCAACTCTTGGCTATCATTGGACACAAGAGATCGAAAAGCTATGCATCGAAGCACT